GCATTAATATCCACCTCACAGTTATTTTTCACTAATTGACTTTCAGCAGGCCTCTACATTTAACTTTTGTAAGTACTTACCATTAGCAAGTAATTACAAAATGCTGGACCAGTGGACCTCAAGTTAACATCTCTAACTGACACTCACCATCTAAATCGATTTAAGAAAATAGGCTGTTTTGTTTTTTGACAATTACAGCGTTATCTTTTAATGCAGCAAATAGGCCCAGGAGATGAAAACAATCAAACAACATCAGGGCAATTCTTAAAAAAAAAAAAAAAAAAGAGGAAGAAATATGCATTAAAAAAAAACGCTGAATTGAAGACCCTTCAATATAAGGCGTGAGCACGTTGTATTGAAGGAAATCTTCTGATAAATTGGACAGACTTCCCGATATAAGGCAGAGGCATGCTACACCAAAGAAAGTTTTTTGGACAACAGTTTCAATTACCTAATTATTATACTGTTAGCTTATCAACTTCTTGTGATTTATTGCGGGATCGTTCTTTTTCAACAAAAGAAATTACTGAAAATACCACAACAAAATTAGATTAACAAAATTGCGCGATCGTTCTTGCATTAAAAAAAAAAATGCAAGTGAAGAAGAAATTCATTCCACTTGGGCTTGGGTGTGTGAAAATCCAATCTGTACCGCCAAAGCCTACTATAAAGTAAGATGTCCTCATCCCAGCATCAGGTCGACACGTGTCCTCTATCTTACCTGGTCCTGGTCGGTGCCCCCCTCGCATAAAGCAACCTTATTATAGCCAGCCATTCCTTCCTTACTCGATAGACAGTCCAAATAGCGCCGCCCCCACCCCCACCCAAGAGTTCAATTATGTATTCATTTCCATGTTTGGAAAATTTCATAAATGGTTGTACGTTACAGTTTTTTGTTTAGTCCCTTGTATTTCATAAATTGGCTTCTTCCCATTTTTTTTTCCTTTTAACTAGGGAGGGGTGAAATTTAAAAAGTAAAACAAATAGTCCAAATAGCATCGCTCCCAAGTCCCATCCCTCAACCTCAGCCCGGCCAAAGTTTCCTTTATGTATTTTTACATAAGAAAATTTCATAAATGGTTGTATGTTAATTATTTTGTTCTATTTCATAAAATACACAGTAGTGACTTCTAACATTCATTTTCTTTATTGTTAACCTGCGGCCTTCTACATTTTAAAAGCATGATATGTTATGAGCACATTTTCTTACACGAAAAACTCATAACTAAATCGAATGCTAATTTCGATGTGCTAATTAGAAATACAAGTCACAATGAAAAGTACATGTACTTCTTTTGAAGGAAGAAATGCACATAAATTTAGCTCATTTCCTCTTAACCCTCTATAGTGTATTTAAGAAAAGCCATCAAAGATTGAAAAGTAAGCTCATTTTTAACAAATATTACCCGAGAGAACACTAGCCTTTTTCCATCAAATAATTGACAGCAACTCAATCTTGATTTGATACCAAAAAAAAAAAAAAAAAATTCTAAGTCAAAACTGGAAAATATACAATGAAAACTATTTCTCGGTATAAAAATAAAAGTGCTGAACTTTCCAATTTGAACCGTAATTCATCAACAACGGTTGGTAAAATGTGCAGTTCGAATCTAGAATTGATAGGTTCACAATTCTTCGTTAAAAATGAAAAATGAAGGTTAGATGTTTGAATTGTATTTTTGCGTCATTTTTCATGAAAAAATTACTGTAGCGATTTGATATATGTGAAGGAAAAAGGTGATAGAAAAATGTGATCACGAAAAACGACAATATTTTTCGACGGAAACAAACAATCCAAATAAGCCGATCATTTCCAAGCCCTAGAGACGGAAAAAGTTTTTGTTTCCTTTTTGAAAGGAAAAAAAAAAAAAAAAAAAAAGAGTCCATGGACGTCAAAACCCCCCTGACGCCGTTAATCTCCTCGATAAACCCCACTACCGAAACCTTTTTCTTTCATTTCGAAATCCTCCGGACCTAAGCTTCGGACCAACCCGAGCCACCCCATCGATATAAACCAAAAGGCTCGGCACTTCTCCACTTCCCAAGTTTCCTTTTTCGTTGCAATTTTCGTTTTGAAGTAGGAGTGTTTCCAAAAAAATAATATAAATAAAATAAATTTTGAAGAGCAAGGGTTTTTGGATACCTGAAATGGCTGACCACGCGGAGGATTTGGACAAAAAAGAAGAGACTTCGATTGAGAAACCAGCGGAGAAGGTTCACGGAGACCATGATTCGTCGTCATCCGCGTCGTCTGAGTCGGACTCTGAGAAGAAGGTGAAATCGAAGCCGGCATCTTCCCCGACTTCGGTGAAGGATAAGATTTTCAGGCTGTTCGGAAGGGAGAAACCAGTTCACCAGGTTTTCGGTGGAGGCAAACGTATGGTTACCACCTAATACACTGCTGAATCTGTTTCTTGTAATTTTTTTTTTTTTTGGTGTTAAACTTTCTAGTTTATTTGGGAGTTTGCAAGTAGTTTTTTCTTCTTTTCCAGATGGTAGGGATCTTTTTTTGGGAATACATGACTGTATCTACTGCCTTTAACTCTTTTCTTTTTAATTTATTAATTCCTATAAATTAATGCTTAAGGATCTAAGATGCATAGTTAAAAAATTGAAATATTCTGTCTTCTTGAAAATATAAACTGAGCATGGTTATATAATCCATTTACTGGTTTTGTTGAATAAAAGAAAGATCCTGTCTCTTATTTATTTATTTTTTGGGTGAAAAGTGGTACCTATTTTAGTTGATTGGGGTTATATTTATTGCCAACTAGAACAGAATATCTGATGTTTGAGAGAAATTTAACAGTTGGGTAATATATAGTGTAAGGATTATGTTTGCTGCAGTATTAGAGTGAGAAATGGGGAGGTTCGAAGTTAAATAGAGGTGAAAAGTCGCCTTCCGGTTGTTGTCATATGTCCTGCGTAGCCAAAAGCCATTTGCATATGCAGGAATTTTAGCATGCTTATGACATCATCTATGTATGAGAATTGATTGGTTTGCGTACTTTGGTGTAGCTGCTGATGTTTTCTTGTGGAGGAATAAAAAGATTTCTGCTGCAGTCCTTGGAGGAGCTACCGCTGTTTGGGTCCTTTTTGAACTACTTGAGTACCACCTACTTACTCTGGTCTGCCACATTCTGATTCTCGCACTAGCAATTCTGTTCTTGTGGTCAAATGCAACAACTTTCATTAACAAGTGAGATTATTCCCTTCAAATGATTAATGTTTTACCTGGTTCATTACCTTTCTTATTAACTGAGCTTGCCTGGTTTTTTTTAACAGGTCTCCTCCACGTATTCCAGAAGTTCGCCTTTCAGAGGAGCCATTCCTTCAGGTTGCTGCTGCTGTTAGGTTTGAGATTAACCGCGCTCTTGCTGTGTTGCGTGAAATTGCGTCTGGGAGAGACCTGAAGAAGTTTTTGGCTGTAAGCTACTTGTCATACTGTGAAATTGCTGGATCATTGGATTTTAACATATGCTTCTTTTGCGTGTTATGCGTCTGTAAGAATGCATGAAAATATTAATTGAGTAATGCCTGTTGAGCGGTGTCCCAATTTTAAATAAGCTACACCATCATGTACTGCAATAAACGCATGCCATGTTTAAGCTTTTTATCATGAGGGAGGTTTTTCTCTTTCTGCAAATCTCTCTGCATGATCTGCGGACTATTGATACTCATAAGGAGAAATTTTGTTTTTTGGTTGAGCCAGGTTGTCTCTGGATTGTGGTTCTTCTCAATTCTTGGTAGTTACTGCAATTTCTTGACACTGTTCTACATCAGTGAGTACAACGGAATATGTGCCCTTACTCTTTTTTTTTTTTTTGGTCTTTCACATTTTTGAAGTTGATGTTTGTCTTTCTTTAACTGGGGTGATGTATTTGTTGTCAATGAACAGCTTTTGTCTTGCTTCACACCTTACCTGTACTCTATGAGAAGTACGAGGATAAGGTAGACTCATTTGCTGAGAAGGCAATGATTGAGATCAGGAAGAAGTATGCAGTTTTTGATGAAAAAGTTCTGAGCAAAATTCCAAGGGGACCTTCGAAGGACAAAAAGAGAGCATAATTGTGGTGATTCACTCATCTTTGGTACCAGATATCAGCTGTGGTTTCTCAAGAGTAGCTTTATTTTCTCTGCTTTGTTAAAGCGTGCTAGTTTTATCTCCGGCTCGGAGCCTGTGGTTTGTGGCTTGGGAAGAATTTACTGATCTGATGGGTTAGCTGCATTTTTTTTTTTTTTTTTTGATGGATACCCTACTTGTAGCAGCAGCAAGCTCGATAGATGGTGGTTTACTTTAGTCACTAGACATTCGCACTCAGAATTTCGGAACCCTTGTTTGTCTTTCAAGCTCCTGGAATACTGGACATTTGTGCGGGAATATAATTGTCGAACGCGTGCGATGTGGATTGTGGAATTAACATGTATAGGTTTTGCCTGAATTGTTTTTTATGTTGAAAATTTGGTGCTGCAGCCCTCGTGAAGATGTTAACAACCCCCTTCGTCAATGGTTGTTCTTTGCGAAGGCTTTTTAAGATTTGGGTGTAATACAGACACACACTTCCCGATTCTTCTATTTGGCCGGATTGGGATCACACAGTTCCAAGACTCGGGAGAATCCAGTGCCCCGGTCGCTGCTGGATATGATCGATCCAAACGGTGGACCAATTGAACCAGCTAGCGTCGATCCCTCTTCCTATCCGATCGATCCAACCTTCCATCCTTGCGTACACTTTTCTCTTGGGCAAGTTTTAGGAAGAAATAATTTTACCCAGTGACGCCAACCAAATGCTCGTTTTTGGTTTAGTTATTTTTTGGTTTCCAAGCAAAGGATTTTCAGGTAGGCGGCAGTGCGACGCCTACCAGACTCAAGTAAATCCGCTTAACTTTGTCAGCTTAGACGTCTGACAGCACCCTCTATTGAGCGGAAAGGAGACGGGATAATTCCGGAAAAAACAACGGAGGATATCATGGTCATGTCTAGTGATGATCCAAGAGTGTGGTGTATCGCAAGTGTTGGCAATTTTCACTTTGAAATCATTCTAGAGATATTGTTCATTTACATGCACGGCCTACACACATCACAAAATACTGCACCCGCTTCACATGTATAGTGGGGTAAAAGAATAGAATGATAGAATGAACCAATTGCAATGATTACAAAAAAGGATACATAGACGAAAACTGAGAACTTGTACCTTTCATCAATATTACGATAGCAGGTTACGAGTATCTTGGAAGCAATCTTGAAGTCTGAGTACCGGGTTCAGATATGGAAAGAGGTACTGTCGAGAACTCAGAATTGGTACTTTCAGACTGCAGGATGGTTCCGCGAGGTGGTGTGGTGGTAAAATTTTGATCTTGGGGAATACTTGATCTACCAAAATTAGGAATAGCAGTTGCAGCACCAGCTGTTTGATTCGATAAAGGTGCATTATTTGACGAGCTTGGACTCCCATTGGTTTGATTCTCCTTGGATGCAGCAGCTGATTCTCTTTTTTCTCTCTCTTCAGTCTCCTTGAGAAGAAAATCAACCCACAAGTCTGTAAAAGACTGGATGTATTCCAGCAAGCAAACGAGTAACCCAGATCAGACAACTAGAACTTGGAGAGAGACATCATATGTGACGGGAATCCAGACATGCAAAGGAATGTATTCAGAAACAGAAGCTCTAGCACTAAGAAAACTGATTTGGTTGAAAATAAAAAATGATAGATATCGAACTATGAGGGGCATTATGCTTGTTTGTCCCATTAGAACCTGATTAGCAGCCTAACACTCGAATTGTGGGACCCAGCACCCAATAAAATTAGTTTCTAGAAAAAAGATCCAAATTCCAAGTAATACAAAATGCAGAAATCCGTCCCAACATTAACTTAAATTGGTGAATAATAACAACTCAAGAAAGGCCTTGGCCTTGGCCTTGGCCTTGGCGTTGCATAAAAAGTCAACATCATAATTATCAAAAGCAAATAAAAATCTTCTGCATGGGGTAGGGAAACAACATACCAGCTAACCGTGGCAGTTATCTAAGCCATGAGTCCAAGATGACCATTAGTAAAGACCAGATGCAAAAACACAAACACCCATATGATTATTATTTTCCTGTGCTAGGGCAAAAGGAACAAACTTACCTGGTCATCAGATCTCATGTTTGATGAAGCTTCAGACGAGCTACTGCCAAGAATGCCACCTACTAGACGTCCAGGGAATCCCAAGACACCTCGAACAACACCTTTACCTGCTCCTTGCTGAGCAATGCCTATTCTCTGCTTGTCTTCATCAGAAAATCCCAGCATGCGGACCATTAGATCCAAAACCTGTGAGTAATTTAGAGCAGTGATCACAATTTGCGACCATGACAATGAGTCACAGCTATTGGTTGTCTCACAATCTAGTCAAGGCTCTTATTTGGCTCAAAGATCTATGATTTTTTACTATAAAGAGCACGAAAATCTGATCCAAGCAACTCAAGAAGAAATCCAACTTAATAGCTTATATTTCCAATAGTTGCTTTATTAATTCACAAACTGAGATCCAGATAGTGTTTCAAAATTCAAATCCCAGCTGGCATTTGCTATTATCTTGTATTTGAAATATCATACCTCTCTGCTGTGGTTTCTCTGGAAGTAGGTCACCAATAGTTTGATTACAATCCGCCTGTCAAAGGTGCCACTTGTCAGAAAAAAAAAGTAATAGAATTGGCAGAGAAATCATTAAGCAGTCTATGCATCAATTGCCGCCAAGATTATTTTAATAGTTGGTCCCATGAGTTTTATAATCTGCAAGATGAGCCAGTAGTTGAATGATTGGAAGATCTGGCTTAATAGTGAAATTGGCATTATGATGAATACACATATATACTTGAGTAAGCAAACAGAGGTACCAAACATGCAAATAAGATGTGAATGAGCAAATCTCAAATTACACTCTGCCCGGTTTGGAAAACTAGTAAAGGGTTCACAAGGATCATGATCCAGAGCACACCATTCATTCTAAATTCTATAGAAGGTAGAACAATCAAAAGAAAGGACAATTTGTGGACTTGAAAAGTTGGCATTTTCTCATAGTCATAGAACCGAAGAGGGAATTCCCTTGCAGATAAAGAAAGAACATGGTCTCCTGATTTATTTAATCTGAAAACCAATATTCTAAGAAAAGGGCAAAAATCTACTAACGCAAGCAACAAATTGAGTTGGGATTCGTTACTCCACCACAGGTAGATTACATGCCTGGTCAAAGAATTAAACACCTCAAACGAAAGAATTTAAGAAATAGCTCTACTATATGTCTAGATTCAAATGAATTAGAATTAGGGTCAAAGTATAACCTATCAACAAGAAAATCAGAGTCCACAGACATCCTATTCAGCCTTGTCATACTATGCTCAAGGGCACGACGTAATTTCTCATTATCTTCCTCAAGCTTATTGACTCTGTTCTTCCCTTCAGCAAGCATCCTTTCAGTTTTTGAAAGATTAGCAACCAATTTTTCCTTTTCCCCCCTTAATGTATCTGCTTGTTGATAAGCCTCCTGGCAAGACATGGACACTTTCAGATATAAAACTTCACTTTTTTTTGTCTTCAAACAAAAGGGAAAAGGAGAGAGGGTTCAGGTGGCCATGTCAAATAAAATTCATTTGAGAGCTTGTTTCAAATTCATAAATTTCCAGAGAGTCACAGAAATAAGACAGTAGCATAAAGATTCACATGAGTTTGAAAGACACAACAAACCTGTAAGGTAGGAGAGGACAAGTGATCCAGTTCTAGCAGAAGATATAGAAATGAAATCTCAAACTAATCAAAGGGAAAAGCAAAAGAACCTTTAAAAGCCCAGAAAGTCTAGCTGATTCTTCTTTTGCTGCAGTTAAATCCTCTCCCAGGCGTTCCTGAACATAAAGAAACAAGCAAGCTATGACAGAGAAACACAACACTAGCGAAACTGGGAAATCGTATCCTTTTATTCTCGACCCCTAGCTATTAATAGGTTTACTTTCAGAATATAAAAGGGCACATCTCTGTCTGATCTTCTATGCATCTCCAAGGAAGCCCATTAGTTTACCTTAGCTTCAATTTCAGCATAATACTGGCCAAGAGCAGTTTGCAGGTTAAGTACTTCAGCATTCTTGGTCTCAATCATGCTCATACAACTGCGCAGTTTCCTATTTAGCTCATCAATAGTTTCCTTAGACTTCTTAATTTCATTTTCATACAACACTTTAAGTTCTTCTTGACTCATAAGAGCCACCTTCAAAGATTTTTCCAAATGCAATATCTGAGACTTTTGATAATCATTACTTGCTCGTAGTTCTTCAATAACCTTGCTATCCTCATCCATCTTTTCAGCCTCCTCTGATTCCTGAAACAGAAGAACAGTTTCATAATCACATTTGCCTGCATATATGAATATTTAGTTCACCAACCATTTGAAGTATGCAATAAGTAGTTGTGGCAAGTAGTTATTTCAAGCTGCCAAAACAATAAAGCATGATAACTGCCGATAAAGCCATATCGTAGTCTCTAAGTGTCTAAGCAATGAACACCAAATGAAAGAAGAAACTCATAAACTTGGATCTGATAAAAAGGAATCAACAAGACCTATAAATAATTAGAGCAGAACAAAAATTTCCACATTAGAGAAGTAAGAAAAGTACTGCACAAAATGGTAGTGGGTGCCTAAAATTACATATTGTAACCTTGTCTAGTAAGTGCTGCTTAAGACGGTTAAGTTGTTGCAGTGCTTTTTCCCTCTCTTGGCGTGTTTCCTTCAAATCCTTCTCCAGCTTTTGGAAACTTACCTTCATTTCTTCCATCCCAGGTAAACCTTCTGATGACTGTACCTTTTAGACGAGCATAATTAGCTTAGAATAAATCAAAAGAAGCATAGGGAAGAAAGAAACTATTAGATTGCAAGCAAAGAGGTTACTAGTTACTACTAAAGTTTAAATGAATGCACCTCACTCTGATGTTTGTATGCTGAAGTATCCCTTCTTGCTTCCAGGTCAGCCAGAAGTTCATCCTTCTTAATCTAAATGGAAAGATGAACATCATAGAAAGAATGAGATCCAAAACAACCAAGTAGAATGAAGATAATCAACCGAGTAGAGTATCTTTTTCAAGCAATTAAGAGAATAATGCAACCTTAAGATCTCTGTTTTCTTTCTCTAGGTCTGAAATTGTTCTTTTCAAACTCTCCACCATGTTATCAGTTTCATCATTGTCTCTTCTGTGCAATTCCATTTGTAATCTTCTAATTTCAGATATCTTTTGGCTCAACTCATCATGAACTTTTGTCATCTCTGAGGCCAACTGTGAAAGAAAATAGGAGTAAATCTCACACATTAAAAGAAGCAAGCAGATCCTTATTGATGTTGCAATCTTGGAGAAGACATCAAGAAGACAATGGGAAATGAAAACTGCAAGTCTATGGTAGAGTGGTGGCTTGTCACCACAGTCCAGCCTTCCATTGCACTTCTGATTAAATACAGGGTAAATTCTCAGACAAACACACACACACACACACACACACAGAGCAGCATAAACCTCCCTAGGGAACTTCAAATTAGATTACAAGAATAGATCACCTTTCATAAAGGAGTTTACATTATGGTGTACGCTAAACAACAGAATGAACTATGTGCATGCAATAACATTCCAGTAAAAGAAACATATGAACTGCCATCAGGCACAAATACAGCTTAAAAAGAACAGAAATTAAAACAGAAAAAAGAAACATATAGAACTCACTTTATCCTTCTCCACTTTTAATGAGTTCAATTCCAGCTGAAAAGATCCACTCAACTTCTGTTCCTCTAAGAACAAGAATTATCAAATCACTTATTCAAGTTGACAATATAGTACCATAACTATATTTGTATTTGCTAAAAATCTGGGCATACCTTCTAATCTTACTTTCATATTTTCTGAATTGCTACGTTCTCTATCCAGTTCCATCCCCAATTGCTCTACTTCTGATTCATGACTTGCTTGAAATGCTGCCAAAGCCCTGTTTTTCTCTTCCAGCAAATCTATGAGCTCCTAGAAGCATGTATACATCTGTTATCAAGTTTATTCATTACCAAAAATGAAGGGCAGAAATGCAAAGAGAAATATTTGAACAATGAGATTTCAATCATGTAAGAAAGGACAAGTATGTCTAGCAGACAAACTTATCAAGAGCTCAGCTCCAGTGAGTATACACGGCAGGTTCAATTATAATTCTTCTTAGAAAGCCAAAAACAATGACAAGGAGGATAGTGGAACAGAAAATTGGCAAAAGTTGTTAAAAGTTCATTTGGGTTACATGGTATGGCTCATACCTTATCAGCACCTCCAATTCCATTGCTTTGTCCATCCTGTTTAGGCATACTACCATTCTGTGATATGCTTCCAACTGCACGATTTTTCACCATACTTTTACTCTGGCGATTGGGTGACTGGTCACTACTTCCCTAAAGACTTGAAAACAAGATCAGTCTACCAATGGCAGGTAAGAAGTTCCTCTAGACATCTTTTTACACAAAAAACCAAAGGACAATGATAGGTATAGACTAAATAAAAGGAATAAGATTAAAAAAAATGGCATGAACAGACTGCTGATTCAATGTAGTAAATGTCAACTAATTAAGAGCAGCAGTTAAAACCTAGACATACATATAAAAAAATATTGCTCCTTTGAAACAAAATAAAGTTACAAGATCTCCATATCTGTAGAGGTGGGAGGACCAACAATTCCACTTTTAAGTGCATCAACTGACAAAGTGAACAATAAAAATCTATACATTCAAGGTATTCAGTCTTGCATAATTTCATACAAGTTTCCGGCATGAACAATTTTATACATGTTTAGCATCTAGCTCTTTGAAATACTGCCAAACTAGTAGATTACTAGATTTCACACATTACCATGGAAACCACCATAATTCTCTAATAAAGCTGGAAAAATGACTTCATTCATCTTGTTAATGGAAACAATGAGTTGTTACACCAACATCACTGAGTTCCCAGTTGACCAAGAAAAAATAAAGGTTCAGATACATAATTTTACAAGTTTGCACCTTTTGGATATTGCATTATTCGACTATGTCCTACCATACATTTCCTCTGGGTATCAACACTTACCTTGGTGGTTCTAGATGAACTTAGAGCAGCATTTGTTGCATGGAGATTTTGCTTCAATGTCCCATTTTCCTCATTCAGCCTCAAAATTTGATCCTGTCAGATGAGATCTTTTAGACGTAACAACAGAAAGCACGTGTACATTAGATTTCCAAAATTATGATACTTGGAATCAAAGTAACATAACTTAGAAACCCCCTACCATACAAAGCTGACAACTAGAATGCAAACCATGAAGGACCATGAAGCATCAAACCATCAAATATCAATATTCAGTTATTAGGATATGAAGATCATTAACTCCAAACACAAAAGATGCAAAATAGTTTGGGGTAATGAATATCAAATGTTTCAAACACAAGGAACCGGAACTGCAAACAAATGATAAAGAATAAAGAGAAATGAGAAAGAGCAAAGCCCAAGTGACCTCGAAGTACCATATTCTTTTTAAAGAAACAGAATCTTCAAAAATCAGATTAAGGAAAATACTACAGCAAGGTCATGGGAAATTGCCTTGATTGAGCCTTCAATTTCAAACTCAAAGTCAAACTCCCCACAAACCTCTAAGGTTATTTTAAACCTACCATCTGAAAGAACCACACACCGGAACAAGAAGGTTGAACAATTGAACCAAATTTGCTGCCTTAAACATTCTAATAAATGGACATTAAAATCACTGCAGATGACTGTACTGAGGTTGCCGTGAATCCCTTTACAGTGCAAAAATTAACATTTTAACTCGAGTCTTTTTTTTTCCTCTATGCTGGGAAGAAGTTAGGGACTGGGGTGGGAAAGACAAGACAGGAGGTTTTAGAGTAAAGAATGTAAATCGTATAAAGACAAAGTATCAAGCAACATTATGACCTCTTTCTCCCTCAGCAATGCAGCATAATTAACGGACAATGCTTTGATTTCTGCTTCAGATTCCCGAAGTCTCTTAATCTCTGCTTGATACTGTTCAATCTGATTTAACAATAGGAAAAAGAAGAAACATTTTTTGAGTCAATGAATTGTTTCCAGTCATCTTATTGTATCCCAAAAAATACAAGCAATTCTTAAATAATAACATGAACATGTTCATATATCCCCACCAGATAAAAGAAAGGCTCTATAATCTGCCTCCAATGTCAAAATAAGGTTAACAGTGGTTTGGAAGAAGGTATCAACATTTGGAAGCAAGAATTAACCTGAAGCTATAAGATGTTACTCAGTAGCACCTAGGATGCAAAAAATGTGAAGTGCAAGCATGAAAGAAACATTCCTGAAAAGATATAAGCAAGAGAGCTCCAAATGGTAAACTGCATTTAATACCTGATGTTGCTTAAAAAGCTTCTCAGGTTAATTCACATAACAAGTTACAGAATTATTGGCTCAGCAAATGCAACGGGCATGGAAGCTTATATGGGGTCAGTTTGTCTTATTGAAACTGCATCATGAGTGGGACAGTAAAATTTGAAAGTGGAGAATTAATTTGATGATATAAAACAAACTCCAAGGAGTTTCAGGATATGAAGTCATGTTATTCTATGAGGTTCATGCTGTTATGCATATTGTCCCAATCAGTTTGAATTAGGTATCCATTCTCAGCAACAGAGTTCCATCACCCAACTACTAAATACTGCACATTGAATTCACAAAAGGTTGAATTTTGCAGTTAAAATAAAAATGAAAATTAGACAATCAATGTCCCTTTATACATAAACATAAAATATCTTCCATTTACAACACACTCAAGGAGACCATCCTCACAAGATAGCATCAAACTTTCCTTTCACCCTCAATTCTTCTCTAACTTGCATATTATAGAATGCAAATCTCCCTTCAGTCAAGTCATTTTCTCTCTACTGCAGTCTAACGGCTTAATTATGAACTTTGTGTACGTGATCCATTGGATTAATGAATTAAACCACCATCTGTTTATAGCAAGAACGAACTTACTGAGCCTACTGACCCTACATTTCACTAGGTTCCATTCTCCTCCTACAAATAGTGGAAAATTCTAAGCCACCTTTAGCATCAACTATATCAGACAGCCAAACCACATTGCAGCCTCACAAACTAATTCTTGCATGGACATCCATCACAAAAATCACCAGTTGGAAGCATTGATATAACCCACTATACGAAGTCAATTAACATGTAACAACAATTTGCAGTGTACCATAAAAATATTGCACCAAATATTCCGCATCAAGTTAATTTCCGAGTTAATCCTATCATCCAAACGACCAAATCAAACAATTTAAGAACATTACATACTTATTTCTTTTTCTCAAGGGAGGGAACCCTAAATTTCAAAATCATACAATTTTGCATTCCACGGAGAGATAAGAACCTGAGAATGATAAGGGGAATCGAAGCCGTTGGCAATGGGAGAATGTGTCGGTGGTGGTGAGATTGAATTGGCAAAATTGTGCGAAAATCTTCGATCGGACATTGAATTAACTTGCCGATCAGGGGAACTATATCCGGAAATCTCCTCGTCGTCGTGGTGAACATCCGAAGCTATTTTATTGAGATTTTCCTTCAAATTAGCGATTGAACTCCACATATCCCCAAATAAATTCCTACTAAAAAATACCCACAAGCAATAGCAGTATGATTTTTACTTCCTTTCTTTCTAATTCTGCTAGCTTATCAAAAGAGAAAGGATGCTTACACTCGTACGATTATTATTAACGAATATTCCGTGATTGATTTGGGGGGAAAGAGCTGAGAAAGGATATAGACTCGGGAGTAATATTTTTGTAATCCAATTTAATTGAGGGAGGGAAGAAGAACCGAATTGGGGTAAGTTTTTAATTAATTTCTAGGAGTTTTAATTGAAGGTGGGGTAGATCTGAAAATAAATTACCTGTATGAATTAATTACTAAATGGATTGTTGAAAGAAGGCTCAGTATTTGTAAGACGGACCGGAAATAACTTGGGATCCTCGGTGGCATGTTTTCTATGCCAACCCAATGCCACCAATAGTGTTGCGCCAAGTGTCTTGTTATTATTTACACTTTAATTTTCTAATAATTCAACTTGGCTTAGTTTAACACAAGTTTAAATAATAACATGACACTTGGCGCAACACTATTGGTGGCATTGCATTGGCATAGAAAACATGTCACCGAGAATCCCAAGTGACCGAAAATTGGAGGAGTGAGTGACGTAATAAATTCGGCCATTTGGATTTTGGGCCGTTGTTTTGCGCATCAAAACTACATGTGGAGCGGTGACTGGGCGGATGACGTGTTTCCGAATTTTGGGTAACAAAGGAGGCGGTTTGAGAGACGTTTGAAAAAAAAAAATATATTTCTTTTTGGTTAGGTAACTATTTAGGAAGTTTAAAAAATATTTAATTTTCAATCTTGTACCCCTTATCTATTTCAAGTCTCAAATTGACCTCTCAACAATTTAAAAAAATGATCATATTTTGATCATTTCTTTCATTTACACCATTAAAGCTAATGGATTGAAGGGGCGAAATTTGACTAATCCAATACATTCAAAGATCAAATGTTGACACTTTTTATTATTTGGGAGTCAATTTGAGAGCTAAAATAGATGAAGGATAACAAAGAAATTGATGAATGGAATCATTTAACAGCTTCCTAAATCTCTCATCTACACTTGCTCTTCCGCACCATCCAACATATTCCTCCTCTCAAACAACTTACAATCCTTTGCTTTACTTTTCTTTTTTTTTTTAAAAAAATATATGCAATCCTTTCTCTTTTATATTTCATATCTAGCACCATCCAATCCATCCCTCTCCCAAAAAATCCAATCCAATCCAACCCTCCCCACCCTTTTCTTTACATATTTTATAGCCCAAAAAATTAAATTTTTATATGTGATTCAGGTAAGATCATCTTTATCCATTTTGTGATTGAATTTGTTTTGAACAATTGTGTTTTGGTTGCAGATACTTGTTGGTCCAAAACCAACAAATCCACATTAGACTATCATCCTCCATTCACATAGATATGTCCCAACAAGGGACTGGGCCAACTTGGCCACGACCGTTTCTGGCCCAAAGAAGCAAGTTTGGATCGTTCAAGCGTACGTTCTGAGGGATGAAACATACGATAGGTCCATAAGTTTTACAGCGTTTGGCGTTCTTTGACTCACCTCCGATTAGGGCTTGCAATCAGTCTAGTTGAACATGAATAAAAAGCTTGACTTCATTTTTGACGAGTTTGAGCTGGTCAAACTCATGAAAATTGAACTCGAGTTTGAATTCAATCTTGCTTTGTCTTACTCGAACTCAGATATGATTATATCAAGTTCAATTGATATAATTTAATCTTAAATTAGGGACAAGATAAATATTTCACACTAACAAATTTTATATATATATATATATATATATATATATATATATATATATATATATATATATATATATATATATATATATATATATGCGAAGTTCGATTAACTTTAACAAACTTTCAAATATCACATATTAAAGTTAAGCTTATCCCACGGCCCTAATATATTTCTTAGAACGATCTCACAATTTTCACTTGCCAGCAACACTTTTAACAAAAATATTGGTTTGATAAATTTGTGAAGTTGTTAAACTTGCCAAAACAGCCGCACAAGTTGCAACACGGACGATATGGTTTATCCGGCAGGAAATTTCTGAAGCTAATGCACAGAATGGCGAATAGCATAGAAGGCATTGTCTTTGTCTTGGGGGGAATCTTGAAAATGAGGTCCGGTTGAAATCATCCATTTCACAAGACTAGGCATATGGCCCCAAGATAATGAAACTTTCTGCACTAACTTTCATGTTCCCTTTTGTGTTGGGATGGTTTAGTGTGATACTGCTACTACAAATTCAACGCATCTAAACATGAACATACCATATGCCATTGTGGAAACAAACCAAGAGCTATTTAGCCTTTTCCTCCTTTGAATAGCACAAACAGCAACCTGTGGCCCGACAATTTCAACATGTATCACATAGCAATGTCTATGGTCCCCTCATCTTTGGAGAACAATTTTTAACTGCTTGGAGGGAAGGACAAACTCATGATGTGAATTCGTTTGTTAGACTTGGACTTAGTATGGAGAGACCGAACTGCTGAAGACAAGGTTTGTGCGTGCAACCCGTGTTCTTGACTTGCTAAGGGTACTTGCCAAGGCTCGAAAATCTGCAGGCAAAGAGCTGTCATACTATCTAGATTAATAAGCTTTTGAATTTTGACGCCAATCACCATATAAATTACGATGACTAAATACTAATTTGGTGGTTTGCTTTTGGTCTATATGTTTGTGTTGATTTTTGTCTACTTTTTCCGAGTTTTCGAGGGACGAGAAGTGCTTGTCTAGCATCTGCTACTACCAATCCAAAAGCAAGGACTAAGTTAATTATCCAGCAATATTGAGAAATCTCCCGTAAGAAACATCAGAAATTGGAACTACATTCTTTTGTGTCTCCGATAGTTTACCTTACCCTAAAATGATATAGATGTTGGTTCTAGACCAAAATAAATCATATAAGTCACAATAATTTCTCTAATAAAATTTAACAAATAAATTAACAAAAATTCATACCTTAATCTTGCATTAAAAATGCAAATAATTTGTACCATAAATATGTTGATTTGGCATGGGTTGACGCGCGGACTAGGTCGCTCTCTTTAAGACGATTCGCGCCCCTACGGAGTATCCTCCGGTGTAGTAGGTCTCAGCACGTCGCCTCCAAGATACAACAGCCCAGCCTTTTGCACACTATAGTCTACTCTAATCTACACTATTGGAGCAAGGCAGAAACCTCACACTAACACTGTTCTTTGCCCTATAAACTCTTATAGTAGTGGAGGAAAAATAGAAGGTAGTACAGAGATAGCAAAGTATATATTTTGTTTGGTTGATAGATGTCTTATATATAGGCTAAGAAATTAGGAATATTAAAATACCAACATTAATAGGAATTAACACCTCATATTTCAGTTACAAATTGAAAAGTCTAGATTCATTGTATAATGGTAAAAAAAATTACTAAATGATTTCATAAAACCTAATCATTACATAAGTTACAAAAGCAAGACATAAATCCCATAAGTTACACATTTAAATGTTTCAATTTGTAACTGAAAATTTATTTAAAGAATTTGTAATTTATTTTATTTGAATTCAAAATAAATATGTGATATTTTTTATTAAAATATCCAACAATCCCCCACTTATTTTAATAAAAAAATATAATATTCAAAACTTAACACTTAATAGGGCAAAGATTAAAAATTCATGCATATTGAAGGTGGCAATGCCTTTAAACCTTCACTTAGTGCTCAACAATTCCCGTGCTAGAGTCAAAGTGGACTTAGCTTTTAAATGATGATTACTTGAGGGCACGTGATATCGTATCATACACATGAACCTTTCAGTGATCTCAAATAGGTTTCATAAGCCAGCACATTTATGGCCTTGTGCTTTATTTCGATTTTCATGAGTGCTCTAGAGAACCAACCCAAATTCTGATAGGAAACGACCCTACTTCCACACTCATATAGGTGAGTCTATCAAGGATGCTCTTATAACTTAGACATCCCATCCATAAGGGCTATAGAACTCATTAAAGGAATACAAATCCCAACCTCGCTTATCATCATAGGATCACAAATGCACTTACATCATAGGGATAGACAATATAATCAAAGTAGTGCATATTAATCAACCAAATCATTCTATGATTCGTTTGTTTCCGACCTAGTTCTTGGGATCTCCAGTCCCTAGGTGGTTGTATTCTCATAGGTGATTTTTAACATATATTAGACTTTTGTCTTATCCCCCTCGATGTGTATCATATCCTTGACTTAGGCTTGAGATTTATTTTTTCAACACAAATAAAATAACAAAGATATGATATTCTCGAATTTTTTCAAATAATCTCTTAGTGGTCCAAATATATGGAACCAATCTTCGATGAGAAAATTTCTCATCCATATATTTTTGCCAAATAGTGTAGGCCTATATTTACTCATATGTAATTTTTTAAATTTTTTTTCCATGGCCAGTAGTCTAGTGATGTACTAGAAGTCATTCTCAAAAAACTCCATGATTATTTTTGCTTTTGCAAAAATATCAAAAAATATTTCAAGTACCTTCACCTCATGTCATATTATTCAGTGAATGCTCGTCTACACTACTCAAAATAAAGTTAGAATAGATTCAAAAAACAATAATTATGTTATACTCACAAATTGAGCAAATAGAATGGGCATATATTTGCTCACATCAAGCAAAGCCACATTAATTTTCATCATTTCTGTAATCTTCTCAATGGCTAGTAATCTAGTAACCCGCCACTCTCATAGTCCTCAATGAATTTTCTTTTGTAAGAAAACTTCATAAGTAATTCAAATCTATCCAAATCATGCCTCACTTTTTAATCTACACAACTCAAATTAGAGATTAAGAAAATTCAAAAAATATAATAGTCAATGTACTATTATGTTTTAATTTCAAAATTAAACTTGCAAGTAATGCAAACCTTATAATGAAAAATCTCAAGAGTTTCAAAATTCATAGCTACCAGCTTAGTCAACATCCATTGTCCGCATTTCCATCCAAGCATAGTCTTACTATAGTCATACTTGGCAAGGAAATTAAGTATTCCAGTTTTCATTAAATGCAAAGATAGCCACGTAGCAAACAACATGAAATAATTTAATACAAATCCAAAAGTTGTTGGTTGCCTGCAAATTGATGGCCTTTGACGAATACATATTTTTCAATGTACAATATCACATTTTCAACTCAAAAGTTCATATTCACAATTTTAACAAAATACAAGTCAAGAGAATAGAATTGTTGAGAATTATATGGCTAATAACTTTATATTTCACAACTTCAAGCCACTAAAGCTATTATCCATGTATATAATTTTTCCTTGGCGACAATGTAATCTTTTTTTCATGTATTATCAATACCGTTTATTGCTTGTGAAAATGCAGACCTCAAGTTGGACTAAGATCATATGAATTGAAGACAAAACTAGAGAATTTTAAACCCCTACTATTTAAATATAACTTGAACCCTCATAATTGCAGTTTTTTTTTTTGATGCACCTTGATACCACTATTCTTAAGACAATAACTGGCCACGTTATACATGCATTTCATGGAGTATATATCTTTATCACCAAATTAATCATTTATATGTCAATGCTAAAATTTTCAATCGGAATAAATCCGTTAATATAAGAGACATTGAAAGTTCACTATGTAACATGACAAGCTCATGCGAAAATAGTTGCTTCATACAACATATATTAAAAACTCAAAAATGGCAAAAAAATTATTGTATTTGGTCTACTAATATACAAAGACATCATGCAAGTACCATGTTTTTCTTGAACAAACAAATACATGATATTCTATTAATAATAGGCAACTTGGATTCAAAGGTATATATTACGAATTATTTATATGCGCTTACATAATATTGATACCAGACTCTAAAGCACATAAAACCAATGGATATTATCCTTTTTAGTCTTAGTCTATAATTATGACCATTCATATCAAATATCTTGTTTATTAAAGTTTGTCCGAATTATGTTATACACCATGTAAGATTCTTATCGTCGGGATTATGTTAGTTTTATGATTAGATTATTTAGAAGCAAAACATGCAATGATAACCTTATCTTATGTGAAGAGGCTAACTCGTCTTAAAATTGTTGGTTCTAAACCAAAATAAATCATATAAGTCACAATAATTTCTCTAATAAAATTTAACAAATAAATTAACAAAAATTCATACCTTAATCTTGTATTAAAAATGCAAATAATTTGCACCATAAATATGTTGATTTGGCTTGGGTTGACGAGCAGACTAGGTCGCTCTCTTTAAGACAATTTGCTTTGCGCCCCTACGGAGTATCACCCGGTGTAGTAGGTCTCAGCACGTCGCCTCCAAAATACAACAGCCCAACCTCTTGCACACTGTAGTCTACTCTAATCTACACTATTGGAGCAAGGCAGAAATCTCACACTAACACTGTTCTTTGCCCTATAAACTCTTATAGTAGTGGAGGAAAAATAGAAGGTAGTATAGAGATAGCAAAGTATATATTTTGTTTGGTTGATAGATGCCTTATATATAGGCTAAGAAATTAGGAATATTAAAATACCAACATTAATAGGAATTAACACCTCATATTTCAGTTACAAATTGAAAAATCTAGATTCATTGTATAATGGTAAAAAAAATTACTAAATGATTTCATAAAACCTAATCATTACATAAGTTACAAAAGCAAGACATAAATCCCATAAGTTACACATTTAAATGTTTCAATTTGTAACTGAAAATTTATTTAAAGAATTTGTAATTTATTTTATTTGAATTCAAAATAAATATGTGATATTTTTATTAAAATATCCAACAATAGACACAAATTTTGGGTCCGCAGTTGCAACCTGAGGAAGGAAGTACTATTCCAGGTCTGAACCGTTGTGCCTCAAAATTCTATACATTTCCATAACTCAACCAACTATGACTGATTGATTAACAGAACAAAACTTGGATATTTCACATAATTGGTTGGGTGTAACTTAGTACGCCTCTCATATTGAAGTTGCAATTTTGAAGTGTGAAAGGGTCTATGCAAGTCCTCCATGTTCGGTCACCGTGCTTTAAGATGCAATTGGTTGATTGAGTCAAGACGGTGTTGGCTGAGACAAGGATGGACTAACATTTAGCGGAGACAAAATAGGATGTCTCGAAGGTTGGTCCCCTCAAACTACCCTCATTTTTTGGCTAGAAGAGCAACCAATTTAAGTGCATTGACCCTTATTTGTGGTGATTCTTTGTGATTGGATAGACACGAGATCACATAGAGAACAGTATATAACACAACAAAACTTTGATTGGCATTACTCATGGCTTTTATCCTGGAAAATGTCCTACCTGGACCCCTGATGTCTTCCCTTCTTTATATAGACATTCTGCTTCAAGAATGCATCAGCAAGAGTCATTGAACCAAGAAAAGACAGTTCCATGATATCTGATGCCTCCTTAATTCACACGGAACACAGTATTTGGCTAGCAATCATACAGGAAATATGCATTATGTTCTTCTTATTATTGTACTCTTGTTTCTTTGTGATTTGTGAAGCGCAAAATATGCATTGCATTGGTAGAGTTTTAGCCAAAGACTCTGCATTGAACTTCAACATACGGTAACAGTCATGAACAGATCATGGAAAAAAGCGGTGTACTTGCATTATTGAGGAGATTACTTCGACTAAAATCTAGGGGTAATAAATGTCTTATGGAGACGTTCAAATCCATAGGAAATTAGGTAGTAGGTCCTTACCATGTCCCAAAATGCTTCCTTTCTTCTCCAGTTACCATACCATGTGCTGGTTTTTATTTGCAGCACTTAGCCACTCAGAATTTCTGTTTGCCTCAATCATTTTTTGAAAGTATTCATATATGTATCAAGTCCAAAATTTTGTTTCCAGTGCAGGACTTCTTGGAGATGGGGGTTTTGTTTAGTTGTCTCATTCCTTAGCTTATTGCTGAAGGCCTCGGACAAAAATCTGAAATTTTCTTTTGGGTGTTTGTGTAGATTGCTGGTTGTTAGTTATTCTATAGATAGAGTGTTTGCTTAAAGAAATTTTAAACATTTGCGTTTGTCCCCTTCTTCACCCAAATATATATATTTCCTTGAGATGGAATCAGATTTTCTGTTTCTTAAGCTGTATTATAATTATGGACTCCAAATTTAAGTCTAGATCTTTTTAAGAATCCAGCACAGCAGAGATAAAGATATCACCACTCCGATCCATAATATAAAACATCATATTGCCGTGCCAATGCCTAGTGGTGGACCTGGTATCAATGTTGTGGAGGAGCTTCGCAAAATGGCACAACAATTTCCAGAAAAGAACAAAAAGTGAAAACGAGAGACCATGTGAGGGCCCCCGAAATCCCTTTCCTCACCATAAAAGTATTGCCATATCATTGTCTGCAAGTAAATGCGGAGAGTTGCCAAAACTTCCTCATCTTCCCTAAGCAAAGACAATATTCATATTTCTACCGTCTCCAAGAATCTTCATTATTCTCTCCTCCCAAATATCAATCCCATAAATGGAAAACGAAAATAAGCATGAAAATTTTACTCTTTCTGTGTCAAAGTTAACAAATCAAGATTGTTCACAATGCTTATGAACTTCTAAAAACAAAAATTTGGATGTACAATCTTACAAAAGGAAGAAGAAGAAGGAGAAAAGATGAACATCTTTAAGCATCATGGCGTAACTTTTGGCATGCATTTACTTCTAGCACTCCTTGCTCCTTGATCCTTTCCACTTTCTCTCATGATGTAACAGCTACGTCTCTCGGTTTGCTGGAAACAAGAACCACAAAAGATGACAAATAATTAGATATCATAGGCTTGTTTAGTAGTGTAATTAGTTGGACGTTCATTGCAAGCTAGCTATGTGCAAGGATTACATACCAAATGATCTTTTGCAGTGGAGAATTGCTTCATGAATTGAGCTTTCAATATCAAGCCTAGAGTCGGTATAGTGTGATGGACTTCGCGGTGTAGAGGCCTGCGGTGAATTGCTCAAGATTTTAGTTTCTGAGTTCTGCAGTCTCCTACAAGCATCAAGTGTATTGCTTGTTTGCTTCACAGCGGCCCAATTGGCAGCAGAATAAGCAGTTCGTCGATCTGGAGATGCCTGCTGTGAATTGCTCCTACTTTGAACTTCCAAAACTTTCCTGTCTAAATCATCTACCCTAATGCTTTTTCTTGACCATCCAAATCCCTGGCAGAAGGGCTTGAGAAGTGAAAAACATCTCTGCAAGACTTTGTTGGATGATTTCGTCCATTTTCTGCTTGAATAATATTTACCCTGATAAGCTGAAGAAACAGATAAAGTTCTGGAAGAAACTGAAGAGAGAGGTGTAGCAGGAACTGATAATGAGGGCTGCATCTTTGTCCGATTACGATTAGGAAAAATTGGCTTGATGCATCCTTCAGCAAATATTTCATCAGCATCAACAAGAGCAAGAGAAGATCTAGAGCCTGGAGTAACATTAAAATCAAACTCTTGGTCATCTTTGAAGATTTTGTTCAGGTGATGGACCATAGGTACTGTTTCGTTGGAAAAATCAACTGATGGCCGGAGAGATTCAAGAAGGCCATCCAAAGAAGGCTCCTGGTTTATCAACCAACTATAAGAAAAACTGTCTGTTGCAAGGGGTTGGGAGTTGTCCATGGTTTTAAGGAGACCCTTGAGTCTTATCTGAGGAGGCAATTGGAAAGACTTGCTCAGAAATTAACTAGCAGTGGCTAGAGGCTGAGAGTTTTCCATGGTTTTATAGCAAGTCTCGTCTGAGGCACAAATGAGAAAGAAATGCTTTTATACTCAGCAAAGATGGGAAAGAGTACGCCACCTTGCCTGAACATTTTACATTGACCACAACACAATATTATGGTCCATATATACAGCTGCCAAGAACAAGTTCATGCAGCATTAATATCCACCTCACAGTTATTTTTCACTACTTGACTTTCAGCAGGCCTCTACATCTAACTTTTGTAAGTACTTACCATTAGCAAGTAATTACAAAATGCTGGACCAGTGGACCTCAAGTTAACATCTCTAACTGACACTCACCATCTAAATCGATTTAAGAAAATGATGTTTTGTTTTTTGACAATTACAGCGTTATCTTTTAATGTAGCAAATAGGCCCAGGAGATGAAAACAATCAAACAACATCAGGGCAATTCTTAACTTCTTTCATCAAAATCAAAGCACTCGGCAATTTACTACTGTCTTTAGTGATATAAGACGAAAAGTTCACGAGCGGCCATCAAAGACACTCAAATTTCGGATACAAATGGCGCCACATCTAATAAACTAGGCTGGTGCTGTAGAAGCTTGATTATAAAAGGAAATGGGTCTGTATAAATATATGTTTGGTAATCAAGGATATTGCTTTTAGCAGAAATTCTTTGGACCGACCATAATGCGCATAATCATTAGTTTAGCAAGTTGTTGTAGCATGATGCCTCAGAAAGGGATGTTTGGTGCCTCTTTGAACATTTTAATATGCATGCATTTGCCAATAGCATCCTTCAACCAGAACCCTTCCTCGAATTCCTCGTCTGTTACTTTCCCGGAGATTTTTTAGCAACAGCAAATAGCAATCAGTCAAAGTCTGAGGTCGTTTCTGTTCCGTGTTTCAATTCATTTACCCCATTCTGCAGCCGCGAGAATAGTGAAAGTAAAGGGCTGTTTGTTAGCAGAAGGAAATCCATAGCCACAGGCCTAGTGGTTAAGCAAGAAGCAAAGTCCATTGGTACTGTATCGTATAGTTTGTAACTTTTGCCTCCCGGCAACAAAGTCTTTGATGGTGAGCACTTTGAATGTCAAACTTCCGACAGCTACCAAAATTTACATAGAGAATGTGAGATGAGACGGTCGTAGCCATAAATGCTGACGGGCAAGAACGCCATTCACGACAAGGCATTAATTATATTAATTAAAATAGTAATTTAAAAAAAAAAAAAAGGAACAAAGGGTCCTTTCACTCCTTTGCAGTTTGGGAGAAGGAAATGAATGAAATATTGACGGACAAAGAAAAGATCAGGTGTGCAATTGAACCAAGTTTTATTGAAATCCCCTCCCTCAATCTGTAATAGCTACAAGAGAGTGTGGCAAACTATCTTCTATTCCAGCTTAGTCATATACAGCCAAGTTCTTACTTTTTAGATCACAGGTTACGGGGTAAGTAATACTAGTGTATGTGTTTGGATAACTAAATTTTTTAAACAATATTTCACTCGCATCGTAAAAATATTTTTTAATTTATTTTTATATATTTTCAACTATCTTTCTATTATACATGCATCGCATCATAAAAGTGCTACAGTGATTATTTCAAATAATACTCTCTATTCAATTATTCTTTAGATCATGACAATATACATAGGCCTGTCAACAGTCCGGATTCCGAACCGGATCCGTCAAAATAATTTTGAGTACGGATAGGAATATAATTCCGTTACCCGAACCTGAAATTTGAATTCAGATATAAATTGATTAATAATTTAAAAAATATATATTTATCGCTATAATACTCCAAATTTACTTCAATCTGATTGTTGCATCCGTCTCGCTAGCATAGGCTAACTTCTATTTTTCTATACGGTCTAAAAAAAGTAAGCTAACGTATGCTTAGTGCAATCATTTTTGCTTACTAATTCCCTTTCCTTTGGCTAATACTACCAGTTTTGGTGTTGTATTGATGACTCCCCTGCCGCCTAAAGTCTCCACCAGTAGAAGAAGATGAAGAGTCTTGCAAGCTGCAACAAGGAAAGAAGAAAGTCTCGCCCACAATATTTGACTAAGTTTAGTGAAGGTACAAATCCGCAGGGATAAAACACACTACCCTAGCACCCCAATTTTAGACAAGCGCCGCATGTCTCTCTCACTCTCTCTTCTCTTTTGCTGTCCCCAGTTTTAGCCGTCCCCTTTCCGAGCTTCAAAGAGGAGCAAGACAAAATCTGAGCTTCCAGTCCACCGCCTCTCTTTCTCTTCGGCCCCGGGCAATTAGTTAAAAGGAAGGAAGGAAAGAAGCAGTTGCAGTGCCCAAACCAATTTTTTTTAAAAAAAAACAATCTGAAATGATCTATTTGCAGTGGAAGAAGCCAGGTTGGGTTTTGTTTTGCTTTTTTCTATATCTGGGTCTGTTAACTGTTAAGGAAATAGAAGGGAGAGGGAGATTCTCTTCTCTGAAATGTAAATACACCACTACATAGATGGATAGATGGAACAAAAGAAAAAGAAGCAGAAGAAAGAGAAGTGAGAGAGCACTTGTTGTTTAGTTGGTTTAAATGCAGTCTGCAGTGGACTGGATTTCCTGCATCATCCATTCTTCATTCTTCATTCTTCATTCCTGCGGCTGCTTCCTTCATCATTTCTACTTCCTGCTCTCCTCTTATTGCATTCTATCACCAAAACAACAATTAAGCAACAGGAGGCACTTTTATCACCTCGATTTCCCAGCTCCATTTTTCTACTTCCGACTTTCTTTCCGGGAATCGGGATTTGCTCTGCTCACTTCTATTGATGCATATTTTTCCTTTTTTTAAAAAAAAAAAAAAATTAAACCAATTTCTTTTATTAAGGTGGTTCAGCTTTGCACCGTCTATCTTTCTCAATTTTTCCGGATAGATCCGATCCGGATTCGAGATCCGTCGAATTTGGTTCCGGAACCTAGAGTTGGAGACCCGCTTAAAATCCGAATCCGATAAAAGCACGACAGGTCCGGATCCGAAATAATGAATTTCGGCCGAATCCAACAAACCCGTTGACAGACCTATACATACATATATATATAGTCACATTAGTGATGTGGTATAAATTTATTTTATCCTGATCCTAAAGGGTACAAACGCATATGTAAATCCAAATTATCACTCCTCAGATGATTGGGTAATCCCTAAACTTTTGGATAATTAAACCTGAAAGATACTTTTTAGATAATTAGGTAATTCATGAGTGTCTGCTTGATATCCCTAAACTTTTGGGATAAATGAAAGAGAATAACATCAAGTGATTAAGAACGTGGTCTAAATAGAAGAGAACTTTGCTCTTTTTCCATTTTCATAACACATTATTATTTGCTTGGAAGCTAGGGATCATGCAATTCTCATTCCGCATTCTTCATATCATTAGAAGAGAACTTTTTCCCTTCTATCCCAACTGATCTCTTTGGATGTTCTTTGCCCTTTTGACTTAGACATGTTTCTAATTTAACAGAATATTTCATATTTAATCTAGAGATTCTTGTTAGGCATGATGTAGTGAACCTTGCTGCATGAAATGAACTGGTTTAGAAACAAGAAACTGTAGAATTAGACATAAAATTAATTTTGTAGACAACTTTTTCTGATATGTAGAAATACAGTGAGATAAGAGGAAAAACATTTGAAAAAAAAAAAAAAAAGTAGTGGGAAGAAGGAAGATTAAAAAAGTAGTGGCTTATTTTATTTGTGGACTTATCTTGTGTTATTTGTATACTTACCTTGCACAGAAAAGGGAAAAAAATTCTATACGAAAACAAAGCCTACAAAAAAAAAAAAAATCTTTCATTTCCAAATCAAACCTTAGATTATGAGCTTTAAAATGTAGAATTTGTCAAGAAGAAGGCTTAAAAAATGAAGGAGGTCAATGCTAAGTTTCAGCTAATACTTCAAAAAAAAAAAAAATCAAAACCATATTACCTTGGTTAAATTAGTTAGCTCATTTATATTAGGAATAAAATCTTTTTTTTTTGGTTTGATAGTATTAGGAAGGAAATCTTAAAGAATAATTCTTTAAATCTATTATTGCATGATTAATCCCTTTCCATACCACTATTGGAACATGATTAGAGATTTCCTTTTTAATACCCATTTTAAATCCTTACAACGTAAGAGATCCAACTCAACCAGGGATATGATGAGTTGATGACAGTTGTTTTTTTTCATATTTTCTTTTATCATTTTTTTTCAGCAGGAGAGAAGTGAGCTTTAAAAAGTAGGAAGGAAGTAGGAAGGGAGAAGAGGGATTCGAATCCAAAACCTCTCGACAAATCACAAAAATCTAAAATTCGAACCATGGTTTTTGGGAAGGTATAGACTATTGTTGTTCACAAAATTTATTTGATAATTGCATTATAACTAGGTAGGGCTCCGTAAAGATTGATCCGGACATTCTTGTATTGATAAAAAAAAAAAAAAAAAAAAAAAACTAGGTAGGTCCTGATATCACTACGTTATAGTAAAAATCGAACCATGACTTTTTTTTTTTCCCCTTACTTTCCTTTGAATCTTTTTGGTAGATCCGGATATGGATCTAGTTGTCTTGGATGATGATAGATTGGTTGCTAGACAATTTTGTACACTACGATACGACAGGTGTTGTTGTATCACAGGTGCTGAGCCAGAGAACCACATCTAATCGAGGGTAGAAAAAGAATCAGCTTAAACTTGCAGTTAATGTTACGCGTTTGGAGTCCCAGCCTTGATCAACCGCTATCTTTCTGCGGCTTCTCTCCGCGGGCGTCGCTGTGACACCAATTTTATATCTACATTAACGCTCCTACAAATTATTTCATTTTGAAAGAACATCAAGAAACAAGCAGTGCAATACCAAATCCCGATCCCCTTTTTGTTAGGTAAATACTACCAGCCCTTTTGTTTTTGGGTTTACCGCCCCCTTGAATATCTCAGGGGCCGGTTTGGCTTACAATTTTCAATTTTCAATTTTCTTCTTCATTGGTGTCAACAATGGAGAAGGATAACAAGAAGTACATCACGGATGAAGAGCTGAAGAAGCATAACAGGTATGATGATTTGTGGATTTCTATCCATGGGAAAGTCTACGATGTCACAGATTGGGTAAAAGAACATCCCGGCGGAGATGTTCCCATCCTGGATTTAGCCGGCCAAGACGCAACCGATGCGTTCATTGCTTTCCATCCCGGCAGCGCATGGAAGTATCTTGACAGATTTTTTACAGGTTATTATCTGAAAGATTTCCAGGTTTCAGAGGTTTCCAAAGATTACCGGAGAATTGCTACAGAATTTACGAAAGCTGGTATGTTCGAGAAAAAAGGCCACGGGGTGGTTTGCTCCCTTGGCCTGGTTACATTGTTGTTTTCAATTTCCGTTTATGGTGTGTTATGTAGCAACAGTTTCTGGATGCATATGTTTTGTGGTGCCCTGTTGGGGTTCTCGTGGGTGCAAGTGACTTTCTTGGGTCATGATTCTGGACATTATCAGATCATGAGTACCAGAGGATTCAATAAGTTAGCCCAAATCCTCACCGGTAACTGCCTCACTGGAATCAGCATTGCCTGGTGGAAATGGACGCATAACGCCCACCATGTCGCATGCAACAGCCTTGATCATGACCCCGATCTTCAGCATTTGCCTGTTTTTGCAGTCTCCGCAAACCTTTTTAAATCGCTTACTTCCAAATTTTATGGAAGAAAGCTGACATTTGATTCAATGGCGAGATTTCTTGTGAGTTATCAGCATTTCACGTTTTACCCAGTAATGGTAGTTGCAAGAATAAATCTTTATCTGCAGACGCTCTTGCTGTTGTTCTCGAAAAGAAAAGTGCCAGACAGGGCACTGAACATTTTGGGCATCTGTGTTTTCTGGACATGGTTCCCTCTGCTGATCTCATGCCTTCCCAATTGGCAAGAAAGGATATTGTTTGTTCTGGCAAGCTTTTTCGTGTCCGCTTTCCAGCATATTCAGTTCTGTTTGAACCATTTCGCTGCAAATACCTACGTTGGAGCACCTCAAGGGAATGATTGGTTTCAGAAACAGACCAGTGGCACCATTGACATCTCTTGCCCTTCTTGGATGGACTGGGTCTATGGGGGATTGCAATTCCAGCTTGAGCATCATTTGTTCCCCAGGTTGCCCAGGTGCCATCTCAGGAGAATTTCGCCCCTGGTCCAGGACCTCTGCAAGAAGCATAATTTGCCTTACAGAAGTTGTGGCTTCTATCAGGCCAATTTGACAACAATCAGGACTCTTAGGGCTGCAGCATTGCAGGCTCGTGATCTCACCAACCCTGTTCCGCAGAATTTGCTCTGGGAAGCTTTCAACACTCATGGCTGAGGATTTCACGGATGCATCAAATCTGTCCTTTCTTTTTTCGTTGTTTAGTTCGTAATCCAAGTAGGTCAGTTATTTGTCTTCTTAGCATTGTTTGGATTTGATTTCTTTTTGCAAAAAAATTATCTGATTGTATCGTTAATGCATCTTCAAATTACCTTTTTATCTTTTCAACTATCTTCTTTATTTCATATATATCTATCACGTTACAAAAAGTGATATATATATATATATAATAATTTTTTAAAATATTATTCCAAATAAATGCAATAGTTTATGCTAGAAAACACTAGAACTAGTAAAATAAATTTTAGGAAAGAAAAACAAAGAGGTAAAAGTTTGCATGCACTTTGGCATTCTGTTCTTGTGATTCAGAGGCTAACCGTACTGGTTATACATCAAGGACTCTGTTATAATATAAACACCTCCGAATCATAATTCATACTTACATTCCAGTTCCCTTGTTTTTTTTTTTTTTTTAATTGCGGTTCATGCAATGCAGGGGAGTTAGCAGGAAGTTCTTGATGCAAATGAAAGATTTAGTACTTGATGACCTTTTCTTCTTCTTCTTTTTAATTTCATTGCCTATAGGAGTTAAGCCTTGAGAATTATAAATAATGCCAAAAAGTTTACAAATTAAAGGTTATTCTAGGTTGCAATTAATAATATTTTTCCCATTTAATTAAGAAAAAATAATTAATCGGAGTTTGTACTCCATTTTTTTTTTTTCCGTTTGGACTCTAAACCTATGGTCATCAATTTATTTTTATAAACAAAAATAAACCTCCCATGCAACACTTATTTATTTGTATGCACATCAAGATTGAAAGTCTATATGCCGACGTCAGTGCATGATTATACAGAAGATTAATTCAATTGCCATCATTGGACAAAAGGCGTGGAGTGGGCTAAACAGATGGCAAAGACACTGAACTGAGTCCGGTTGTTGATTCAACAAAATACAAATCCATGCCAAGTTGCGAATTTGAACGATGCTTTTAGGAAGAGTTTCTACAGGCCCAATGGGCTAGCCTCTCATCAAAAAAATAATGGGTTAGCCCAATATAAGGCCATTGTATAATTTTTCCTACACCGGCAGTGTAAACCTATTTTACACTGACGGCTTATCATATTGCGCCACCTCATTAATGAAAATTGACAACCTGTTATAACCTGTAAGTATTACCTATTATCAAATAAAAATAGGTTATTCACCTTCTTTTTTGCCTCTTCCTTCTCTTTCTATTGTATTCTGGATTTGCAACCAAATTCCTCCACTAATCAACTCAAAATTGGGATGACAGGTTAGACTTCTTTAATCTCTCTCTCTCTCTCTCTCTCTTATATGTATGATGTCTTTTATAAACCCACTTTACCTTAATTTTTACAAAGTGTAAACCCTAATTCAATATTTGTTCAAGAATCGATTTTGTTGTATAAAAGAAAGATGAAATAAATATGTCAAAAAATAAGAAAAATTAACTAAGTTCCTCTTTATATCGCAAAATTATAGTGTAGGTCAATTTCAGCCATGTTAGTGGAAATTCTTATTAAATATGTTTTGAATATTTCAAGAGTGGTAGTTTTTATTGTCATGTTTATTGACAATTGTGTGAAACTTGTGTCTCTAGTTTGGTATTGTGGTTGCATCTTTCAAAAAAACAATCGGTACTGAATGTCCTATGGAACGTGAACTTGGTACTGAATGTCCTATGGAACAAGATCAAGTTGACCATGACGCTGCACATGGATCTATGCCTGAAGATTCTACTAATGAACAGATTGAACCTGGAAAAGATGTGAACTTATATGTTGGAATGGGATTTGAATCATTGGGTGATGCCTTTAAGTGTTACTCTAACTATGCACACAATAAAGGTTTTAGTGTGCGAAGAAATCGTATCACGAAATCAAGGAGCAATAAATCGATAATTGGACAAGAATTTGTTTGTTCCAAAGAAGGATTTCGCTCCAAAAAAAGATTCTAAAGCTGATATGCCACGAGATAAAACAAGACAAGGATGCAAAGCATTGGTGTATGTATCCCAAAAGGAAAAGGGTAAGTGGATTATTGCTAGACTTGGTTTAGAACATAATCATGTACTTGCCTCTCCTTATAGCAAAAAATTTTTACGTTCAAAAAGGAAAAAAAGTGAGGCCCAAAAGAATTTGATTGATATGCTAGACCAATCTGGTGTTCAACCAAGCAAGATTGTCTCTGTTTTAGCAACTCAAGTGGGGGGAATTGGAAATTTGAATTTCACTGATCATGATGTTTGTAACTATTTGAGTACAAAGAGACACAAGGAACTAGAAAAAGGAGATGCACAGTTAATGCTGCAATATTTTCAAAAGTGACAATATGAGAATCCTGGTTTCTTTTATGCAATTCAAGTAGATATAGAGGGTCGTCTTGCTAATTGTTTTTGGGTTGATGCTAAGTCAAGGTCAGTATATAAACACTTTGGTGATATGGTTACATTTGACCCTACATACATGACAAATAAGTATAAGATGCCTTTTGTTCCATTAACTGGAGTTAATCATCATTACCAGTCAATTTTGTTTGGAGGTGCTCTGCTTTGGGATGAAACCGAAGAATCGTTTGTTTGGTTGTTGCAAACTTGGTTAGAAGCAATGTTTGGGTGCCCTCCTAAAACTGTCATTACAGACCAAGACACTGCAATAACAAATACTGTTGCTAGAGTTTTACCTCATAGTACACATCATTTTTGTATGTGGCATATTGAGAAAAAATTTCCAGAGACACTTAGCCATATTTATCACCAAAACAATGATTTCAAGTATCATTTCTCAAAATGCATTCATGACACTATTACTCCAGAAGAGTTTGAAATGGCTTGGACTGAGTTAATTGAGAAGTACAAGTTGCAAAATAACACATGGATACAAAAGGTATATTCAATTCATGAAAGATGGGTTCCTGCTTTTGTGCGTGCTAGTTTTTGTGCAGGTATGTACCTTATTCTTTCTTGGTTAAAAAAATAAAATTTGACATACACTTTTAAATCTTAGTATAGTGATAATTAAATTTTTTTGATTATATAATTATCTACTTTTGTGTAATTGCTACTGTTTTGTCCAGGTATGTCAACTACTCAAAGAAGTGAAAGTATGAATAAGTTTTTCAAAGACTATCTGAATTCTAGCACAGCTATGAGTAAATTTGTGACTCAATATGATAGGGCTATTAAGGCAAGGTATGATAAAGAAAAAGAAAAAAATTTTAACACAAAGAATACGAAACCAATTTTGAAAACTCTGTACCCTATGGAAACTGAAGCAGCCAAACTGTATACACGAAAAATCTTCAGAATATTTCAAGCTAAATTACTGGAATCCCAGAAATATGTTTATGAGAAAATAACTATGAAAGATGGAGTTTACAAATATAGGGTACATGAGCGTCAAAAGGAATTTCCTCATATATTGTAATTCTAAATATTATTGAACAAAAAGTTGAGTGCTCTTGTCACAAGTTTGAATTTGTGGGGATTCTTTGTAATCATGCGCTGATGGTGTTTATAAAGAAACAAATTCATTCACTTCCAGTGCATTATTTGTTGGATCGTTGGACAATGAGTGCTATTTGTGGACGAGATGAGAGGGATTTTTCTGAAAAACTTCACCAAGCTGAGCCGCTAACAAATTCAAGCATGTGGTTTAATGATATAATGGTTCGTTTACTTGGCATTTCAGAGAAAGCTTCAAGATCTGCAAAACACCACAGGTTTGTATAGTACCTCTACTTTTTTTTTTTTTAAATGACATTGAAAATTTTAACCTGATTTGACACCATACTCAATATTGCAGAGTTGCACTTCAAGGGTTGCAAGCATTGTCTGACAAACTTGATGATTTACCCTACGAAAATGAGCAAGACAGTAGTTTATCTATTTCTCAAGTTGACTCACATTCTGAAATTCATGACCTCACTCAAGGTCAAACATCTCAAAGAGTATAACTCTATTCAACCTCGTAACAGTTGCATCAAAAGGCCGTCCTCGCACCTTACGGATGAAGGGTGGTTTAGAAAAGTCTCGTAAAAGCAATAAATGCTCTTGTTGCAAAGAGAAGGGGCACAATAGAAGTACGTGTTCCAAATTAAAGAATTGAGTGGACTGTTAACAACAATAAATGCACTTGTTTGGAGCCTGATAGTTTGATGAATTATCTTTTCATTCATTCACGTGTACTGTTTAGATGTTTAGATTACTTTACTGGAATGATAGATTGTTATCAAATTTGTTTGTCCAAGTTCAGATTACTCAAGTAGAGTGATAGTTTGATATATTTATCTTTTCATTGATACATGTTCACTTGTCCGCTTCAAATATTTGACCAGAATATTTATCCACTTTAAGTGACTTGACCAGAATGTTAGTCTTAATTAGAATGTCATTATATTGTTATATTTATATTCAAAACAGATTTAATAAGAATTCCCACTAATATGGCTGAAATCGACCTACACTACAATTTTGCAATATAAAGAGGAACTTAGTTAATTTTTCTTATTTTTTGACATATTTATTTCATCTTTCTTTTATCCTACAAAATCGATTCTTGAACAAATTTTGAGTTGATCAGTGGAGGAATTTGGTTGCAAATCCAGAATACAATAGAAAGAGAAGAAAGAGGCAGAACAAGAGGTGAATAACCTATTTTTATTTGATAATAAGTAATAGTTACAGATTATAACAGATTGCCAATTTTCATTAGTGAGATGGCGCAATAAAGTGAGTCGTCCCCGTAAAATATCTATTTTATCAAAAAGTCACCTTGCGCATTCCATCAGTCCGTTCAGAAGCGTATCACATCCACCAATCACAATTTCTTTTTGTCTTAATAATTAATCGCTAATTCATAATTTTTCTGAATTATCCAAAACAAAACTTATCCAAATTTGGCCCTCCTCCCATTCTCTCTCTCTCTTGTTTTCCTCCCTTCCTTTTTATTTTTTTTTCTCTTTTTCTTTTTTCTTCTTTCTGCCGTTTCCTAGGAAATTACTCAATCCCGAATATTCGCATAGGAAAAAGAAATCCCAAATTCCTTTGGAGAATAGAAGCAAAAAAGAAAAAAAAAAATGCTCTTTGCAAATTTCTCCCATTTTTGATTACCTAAATCTTGACGTCCGATGGCACTTCTCGTAT